ATATGGCTCGTTAATAGCCATTCATATTGGCCCAAAAAATCTTTATTGGTGCACCCCTAGTCAGGTATGATCTTGCCTTGAGCAGGTGACAGGACTAGTTTACTTCCTAAGGTCCCTTCCAGCCCTACTTTCATAGGATCCTACAATCCTATTAAGGGTATAAAGGCAACTAATAAAAAGTAAAATTTATATATAAAATTGTTTATATTGGTACAAAACAACAGCTCTTTTTGTTCAGCCAACATAAGATAGTTGTTTTCTTACTAGCATTGCAGCAGGTATTGGTCTTGGGAAAAGAACCGTGTAATTATGGATCAGATAATGCATTTTGCATTTAAGAAACATCTACATGAAAATGAATATGAATAATAGCTGGTTTTACATTTTCAAAAGTGTCTCTATGTTTTGGTATCCAACTTGAGTAGCCTAGGGCCTGACAGAGGCACTGAGCACTTTGACTTCCCAATTAAGTCCATTAGAATTTGGTACCTGTGTTATTCAAGTTTTAGATATTTTCAGTTGGAAAAAATTTGTAAAACATAGCCCACAACTGTAAGCACAGTACCAGGCTATGTTACTGAGCTCATTTTTTGAATGACCCTAAAAAGATGCTGGATCTTATTCTTTGTTATCTTGCACAATATAGTCATTTAGATTAGTGACTAATACAGCCATTTTGATTTGGAAGCATTCATTGTGCATTCATTTTGCAGTGCTATAAATTTATAAGGTGGCACTGCAGAAAAAAATTCTGTATTGTGAAGATGTCAAAGTTTCAACATTTCTTTTCATTCCAATTTGGAACAAAAACTTAAAATTATGAAATTCTTCATAAAATAAATTCTGATATTTTTTAGATCAATCAAAACATTTGTTTTGACTCAAATATTTTACTTGATTTTGAATTGCTATAATGAAAAAATAACATTAAAAGAAATGAGGTTTCAAACTAAGCAATCTAAACTTCTGGTGTTAAATGCTAAAACTGAATGTCTGATGCTCTGGCATTAATACTAACGCTTCTATTTCACACACAAAACATTTTTCAGTAATAAAATATAGTTCCACTAAAGTGGAAATAGTTTTATCCAACGTTTTCTAACTAGCATAAAGCAGGGCAATGGAAATGAAACCCAATAACCACATCACGCTAATTAGAAATGTGTAATGAAAACTACGTAAAAATGAACTTCAATCTAAAAATCCTATTATATACACTACATACTGCAGTTGCTGATTGCTTCCATTCCTGTTACTCCACAGGCCCAAAACACTGGAACATCCCCAGGATGAGGCTGTACTGGATCTCCATAGTCTGGGTTGGAAAAGTCTTGGATTCCTAATAAGCCTATGATTAGTAAATAGTAAAACCACATTACATTCTAGTTCATAGATTCATAGAAGTAGGGTCAGAAGGAACCTTGTAGATCATCAAGTCTGACCCCCTGCCCTGGGCAGGAGAGAAAACCGGGCTCAAATGACCCCAGCCAGGTAGATGTCAAGCCTCCTCTTAAAGCCCTCCAGTGTAGGAGCCATCACCACTTCCCTTGGAAGTTGGTTCCAGATCCTAGCTGCCCTGACTGTGAAGTAGTGCCTTTGGATGGCTAGACTAAACCTACTCTCTAACAATTTGTGACCGTTATTCCTTGTTACCCCGGGGGGTGCTAGGAGTAACAGGGTCTCTCCCAAACTCTGCTAGTACCCCCTAGTGAGTTTATAGATGGCCACCAGGTCCCCCCTCAGCCTTCATCCCAACCTACATCCAAAATTCCATAGTTTTCCTTTTGTGTGCATGGCCCCCATACCTGTCTTAGTACTGCACTCCTTAAATTACCTTTTCTTGTTTTATTATCATAACACATACAAAAACAAAAAAACTCATCATCCATGTGTCAGCACACATTGCTTCTGGAACAAAAAGACACGGGCTTCTCTGAGTACTAAACTTCCCAGGAAACATTTTTATAATAGCTTAACTATCAGTTCACTGAAGACCTATACTCATAAAGTGTGATAGCTTATTCTTATTTCCCAGTTGAATATGTTCTCTGCACCACAGTCTAGATTACTGTGTCCAGCCTACTTTCTTGAGCTAAAGAAATAGGCCATTCTCATTGTGGATTATTCCATATGCTATTACATTTCACTGCTATGAAAATGTTCTGCCCTTCAGCTAAATTTTCCTTTGCTCGATTCAATCATTATGGGTATTATTCTGGATCACAGCTCCTTCTGCTCTGAGTGCACATTCTTCAGATACTTGCGTTTCTGCAATTCCTCCACTTGTCTTGGAATTAATTTAAGTAGGCAATACATATTACTATTTCAATTTCTTGTAAGATCTAATGGCCCCTTTATAATTTTTTGGTCTTTTCTAAACAGCAATTTGGAGCTAGCTTTGTCAGCTTTCAACCACCAGGCTGCTGACATCTGACATTCAAGAAAGAACCTAAGAGTGATGTTCGTGTTGCCAGATGTACCTTGTTGCCAGAAGTACCTTGACTCTGTGAACCTGGGACTAGTAGATATAGAACTGTTTGCATTATTCTTATGTGCTATCACTGTGTATCAATAATATTTGCCTATTATTGAATGGAAAAGTTGTGGTTGGTCTGAGGGTTTGGGCCAGCCCAGATCAAGGTATCTGGGTCATAAATCCAGTGCCAACATTAGAAACACTATAGGTATCCAGGTAGATAGCTCCCCATGCTGCTACTTACTGATATCCCTTTTCTGGAAGCCTTCTAATGATGGACAGTGTTTATACATAAGCTAAATTACATAAATATTTACAAGTGTTAATTGAATCCTTTATCAAGACCAAATAGATTACTTCACTACTTCCCCTGTACCAGACATTCACTTCTTTATCCAACACTTTCTGTGCTTAGTCACTTCAAACTTCCATTTTCAGTTAAAACAAGTCAGTGCTTACCTACCTACCTAAAGGTCAGAGTTTGTTTTTTTCATTTAAGAAGAATGTATTATCCCTCCATTTTCTATCATTTTCCCCTTAGATGTAAGCAACACAGACATAGTATTAAATAAATGGAAAGTACACTGACCAGCATCACCAATGTGAACTGGCGCTCCATGCGACTCCTTCAATGGATAAGTTGCTAGCACAACTGCTTCTAATTTGTCTTCAGGAATGGGTCTCATTGTGACCACTAAATTGCAGCAAAAAGTAGCAACACTGAGGCAAGGTACATCTGTCTGATAAAATGTAAAAAGGACCCAGGATGTTAGCAAGAAGCTGCATGAAGACTAATTTTCAGTTAAAAAACTACTACAATATATGCCACTTTACCATAGTCACATATTTCAATTGTTTGCATAATTCCTCATAAGACAAAATGTGTCCTAGATGTTCAGTTAATTTTCTTCCTGCTTATTTGCATTTTGGCTTTGAGTATATTTCAGTTTATTGAATAAGCAAAAAAAAAAAGGGGGGGGGGGGGGGGGGAACCCCAAAGCACCCAAATATTGCTCAGTTGAATAACGTAAAGAGTGCATCGTGGACAGAGACAGATTTCTACTCACAACAGAATTTATATAATGTCTTGCATTCAAAAACTTGTCTAACTGTATCTCAACTATATAGTTGGTCCAGTAAAAGATATCACCCTAAGAAATCCTTGCCTCTCATATCATAAATGTTTCAAATTGTGAAACATTTTTGTAATATGGTGAATTTTGTTGTATTAAATTAATAAGCACATTTCACCTAGAGGTATAGTTTGTGTGTTTCCTGTCTTTAACTGCCATTAGCTTCCATATTAGAATACTCATTCAATGGCACATCTAAGAGAAACAGAATTAAATTTTCGCATGTGAGATTTTCTTTCTTAATTTGACCATAGGCACATGGTCAAATTAAAGGGTACAATGGGGCCTAAGATACAATTGAACAGCAATTATCAATTGAACTATTGTACAATTGAACAGCTATAATTTTCAATATATTTCTAGGAAGTCTAAGCTGACCAAAAAATATGTGAAACAACTTGAAATGCTATCTTAGGGCACTTGCACAGGTGATGGGGATTTAGTCCCCTAAACTGATATGGTGTGTTTTTAATTGCAATAATTAAATAATTGCACCATTTCAATGTAGGGGCTTAAATCACTGTTGCAGCAAGGAGCACAATTCTTTTTTTTTCTTTTTTCAGAGCCTGCCCACATCTCGTTAAAAAAGATGTGGCATCGATGCCTACATGGTCAGATGGATTGCTAATTGGCTGAAGGGTCATACTCAGAGGGTGGTGGTGGACGGGTCATATTTGACCTGGGGGGAAGTGGGCAGCGGAGTCCCCCAGGGCTCGGTCCTTGGGCCCGCGCTGTTCAATTTCTTTACCAGCGATTTGGACGATGGGGTGAAAAGCAACCTGTTCAAATTCGTTGATGATACCAAAATATGGGGTGAGGTGGGCACGCTAGCAGGGAGGGAAAGACTGCAGAAAGACCTGGATAAGTTGCAAGGGTGGGCTGACAAAAACAGGATGCGTTTCAATACGGACAAGTGCAGGGTGCTGCACTTGGGCAGTAGTAACCGGCAGCACACTTATAAGATGGGAAACTCCCTTCTTGAGAGCACAGAGGCAGAAAGGGATCTTGGAGTCATCATTGACTCCAAGATGAACATGGGCCGACAATGCGAGGTCACGGTGCATCTCAAGTAGGGCCAAGGAGGTGATCCTCCCCCTCTACGTGACACTGGTCAGGCCACAGCTGGAGTACTGAGTCCAGTTCTGGGTGCCCCACTTCAAGAGGGATGTGGACAACATTGAGAGGGTCCAGAGGAGGGCCACCCGCATGATCGGGGGACAGCAGGGCAGACCCTACAATGAGAGGCTACGGGACCTGAACCTGTTCAGCCTTCACAAGAGAAGGCTGAGGGGGGACCTTGTGACCATCTATAAACTCACTAGGGGGGACCAGAAGGGTTTGGGGGAGACCTTGTTTCCCCCAGCGCCCCCCGGGATAACAAGAAATAACGGCCACAAGTTGTTGGAGAGTAGGTTCAGATTAGACATCCATAGGAACTACTTCACAGTTAGGGCGGCTAGGATCTGGAACCAACTTCCAAGGGAAGTGGTGCTGGCTCCTACTCTGGGGGTCTTTAAGAAGCGGCTCGATGCCTACATGGCTAGGGTCACTTGAGCCCAGTTTCTCTCCTGCCCAGGCAGGGGGTCGGACTTGAAGATCTACAAGGTCCCTTCCGACCCTACTTCTATGATTCTATGATCTCCTGCAGTATGATGGCAAGCTGCCGGCAGGCTGAGTGGCCCCTGAGCTGTGGGGGGCCCCGATCCTTCTTTCAGTGGCAGCAGCACCCCCCAGGACTGCCCAAGTGAGTTGCTAGTGGGTGTGTTCTGCCCCAGCTCAGGATCAGGGAACAGTTGGATTGGGCCAGGTGCTACCTCTGAACCGGGGCAGCACTCACCCACTAGCCACTCGCTTGGGCAGCCCTGGGGGGCACTTCGACCATGGAGGGAAGGACCAAGGCCCCCCACCACTCAAAGCCTGCTAGAAGCTCACCCCTTGGCTGTGGGAGAGGTGAGCAGGCTCCACAAGGAAAAAAAAAGGATCAGGCCCCTTGCTGCACAAGCTACCACTGGGCCATGCAGCCCCTGAGCTGCAGGGGGCCCTGGGCCTTTCCACCACGGTGGTGGTGCTCCCCCGGCGGCTGGGGGGGCACGGCGGTGACAGGAGCATGGCAGTGGCAGATGGAGCACAGCAGTAGTAAGCAGGGAGCTCCTGTAGATGCTACCAGTGCTGTCAGCAATGGCAGGGCGGCAGGGGGTAGTGAGCGCTGACCAGGGGTCGGTGACCACCTGCAGACACCACTGGCAGCGTTGGCAGCACCTGTGGGCAGTTGCTGCTTGCCACCCCTGCTGCTGAGACCACTGGTGACGTCTGCGGGTGGTCAGCAATTGCCGCTGGCCGCCGCCAATGCTGCCAGCAGTGTCTGCAGGTGGTTGCCGACCCCTGGTCAGTGCTCGCCACCCCTCTCCCCCCACTGCTGACAGCATTGGCAGCGTCTCCACTTAACACCACTGCGCTCCCTCTGCCACCGCTGTGCTCCTGTCGCCACCGTGCCCCCCCAGCTGCCGGGGGCACATGTCGTTCATGCAGGTGCTGCCCCAACTCAGAGGCAGCACCTGGCCCAATCCAAGCCTGAGCTGAGGCAGCACCCACTCACTAGCAGCCCACCCGGGTGGTCCCAAGGGGCGCTGCCACCGTGTAAGGAAGAACTAGGGGCACTCCACAGCTCAGGAGCCACTCATCCTGCTGGCAGCTTGCTCACTGGCCGCCGGAGATGCGGGCAGGCTTTATAGGCAAAAAAAAAGGATCGGGCTCCTCACCACTTCTGCCTTCAGCCCATCTTTCCTATGGTGGGGGGGGGGGAGAGAAGGGGGAGCTGTTAAAAGGCTCCACATTACAAATATCTACATTGCAAACCAAACTATAAGCTAATGTGGTTTAGTTTGCAATGTAACAACTCATTTAAATTGTAACCCCCCCCCCGCCATATGTGTACAGAGTGACTCAAACTGCAAAAATGACCAATTTTCATCATGTGTACAAGCACCCCTAGGATCAGGAATTATAATACCTGCTTCTGGTGTATCTCCCCTCTCCCTTCTGTTTACTGGCATAGTCCACTTATTTGCATAATTTTGTTAAGAGAAAACGGCCATGTAAATAAAAGGAATCTACTGTACTATTTGTGATATAATTTAAATGCTCTTGTGAATTTTCTATCTTTCGTCCAATTAAAATAATCAGTTTTTCACAACAATCATTAGTGCAGAAACCAAACAATCTACTCTGTAATTCTTATTAGCAAGATGCATCATACTGAAACATTCTGAATCATTTTAAAATTTAAATCCATATTCAGTACTTACAGTATACAATTTGGCAAGAACATATATTTCAGATAGACTTTCTATAGTAGCCCTAGTGCTATTTCTTACAGAAGGTTAATGAAAGCACACAGGCACAGACTGATGGGCCCAAACCATTCTTGCATGCTAGAATAAAAGGAAACTATAATCCAGCCAAAATCCTATGAAGTGCAGGGGTCAAACCTACTGATGCCAGGTGCCCAATACTAGTAATCTCATATTATCATAGTAGGAATACACAAGTTTCATAGGGCCATTGACTTTTGTGATCCAAAAGAGAAGCCACAGATTGACCTGAAGGAATGTTACAGTCCTGACTATCAGGATGTTGATGAGTCATTCCTATTCAGAAAAACAAGTCTAGATAAAATGGCACTCAAGAAATGGTAAATCAATTATATTATCTGTATGGGAAATATTTAAACGTCATTAGATTTCAGTTATAAAGTATAGAAATATAATTAAGGAGACAGGTGCCACACAAAGGTCTATGTTAATTTTATATTATTACCATGTTGACAGTACTGCAATAAAGATGTTTTGCTAATTCTAGAAAGTAATCCTGCTTTACAAATCACTGCATGTTTTTCCTTCAAGCTAAAGTTTCACACAGGGTCTCAATATGAGTGATATTTTTTCTCTTCATTGAGAAAAACTCAGTGAGCACATCTACACGAGATGTTTACTGTACAGTTGACTAATTAACTGCACACTAAATGTCTTAGAGTCTACATGTGAGCCCTTATTAGGGCACATGAAACTAATAAACTCTGTAGCAGGGTAGTGCTTGTATTTATAAGTAGTACCCTGCTGCAGAGCTTTTTTGTGTGCAACAGTGCATGGGTAGATGCTGTCCCAGCAGGCTAGAGCATGAGGGTGGTTCAGTGAGGGGCTAGCCACCAGGTAGCCCCTGCACTGAAGCACCTGCATACGCCAGCCAGCCACTCCATAGCACATGGAGCCTGGCTGGAGCAGCCCTGGGCTGGCAGGCTAACCTCCGCCAAGCATCCTGACAGCCCAGGCTGCTCTGACCAGACTCCTCCACATGCTGCACATGAATAAACTCTGGAGCAATATGCTCCAGAGTTTTTTGCTCCTGGGTATACATTCAAATGGCATGCCTGGGAGCGAAAAAACTCCAAAGCAATAAGCATTCATTAGCATTAATCGTATGTGTAGATGCAAATCATTGCCTAGTAGAGCTACACTTTTTGAGTGGTCTGCAAAAAGCATGCAAAGATGGTTTCTTAATCATTAACATTGTATTTATTGGACATGGTCATCACTGCAAATTTTTACAGAAAAACGTGTTAATACAATTGCCTGAACCTAGATGTAACTTAATGACTTTCTTACCTTATACATGCTTACATTACTTTTCTGCTCAATATTCCTTACAGGAACACCAAGTTTCTGGACTGCCTTTTCAAATGAGAAGCTGCAGCCTAAGTAGAAAGTCACCATGTCTTTAAGCTGGTCAGAATACTCCTTCAAACTTGTCAGAGTTCCAGTACAAAGTCCATACTCGTATACTCTGTATTGCAGGCAATCAGTTCTAAATGGCATAAAGGAACAGTCTATCAGTTTCACAGCGTCCCAGACTTTAAGTAGGATGGAATATTATAAGAAGAAAAGCTGGTTAATCAACATTAATGAAACATTAAAGTGCATGATTTTTCCTGTTCTGTCCATTTTGTTTTCCTTTTTGGTGCCAGTCTAGGTCACAAGAATAGAAAAGTCTGTGTGTTTCACACATTTGCTACAGAAAGCCAGAAACCGGGTACATATGATGAAGCAAAATGCACTTTTTGCTGTGAACAGGTGAAAGCCCTAGAAATACCCCATTTTGCTTAATAAAATGTTTAGGAGACACTGTTTTTAAGTTCTGTCTCCGGCTTTGACCACTTGCTTCAGAAGTCCTTCTAATTTCCAGACTATTCCAAGTAACATACAGTCACCATGTTAGTGCTGGTATTGAATAAAATTAGGAAGAGGGGTGAGGAATACTGTCAGCTGACTCTCAGCTGAGGGATCTTTGATCTACTGGAAGATCTTTGCAACTAAACAAAACTTCTTTTTTGCTGTCAGTGAAACATTGACATTATGGTAAGGATCATTTTGTCAAACTGGCAAAATGTTAAGTCTATTATGCCAATGTAGTCGATTGACTGCTGCAACCGAGAAGAAATAAAGCTTACTGTATACAATTCTGTGGATGGCCTGTACTCTAGAAAATGTTATTGTCCAATTAATCCTAGCTTTCACTTAGATCTTGTGACAGTTCATGAGAGAGTCATGTCCACACCTACCTAATATCGGAATTGCTGCTCAGCGAAGGGCATTTCCAGTCACCAGGCTTGCTTCTGTATAACAGTGGCAGAGGCCCATTATTTGCATGGCAAAACTTTTCAAAGTTGTCAGCAAGGGATTTATGCAAGATTACAACATTTGCCTGTTTATAGCCTAAAATATTATAAAAAAGAATTATCAGTTATAAATTCAATTTGTATATGTTTTACAGTATTATTTCTATATGGATCTTACCTAGGGATTTTTTCTTTCCCAAAAAATCCCCTTTTGTTATTTATTTTTAACTATGAGGTAGACTACTAAACTTAAATAAAATTTCATTTTTTTCCCAAAGGGTTGCTCAAATTCACTCCTAGATATACCCGCAATAGACAGTGCCCATTGTAGTCATTTCAGTTTTTGAAATACTTAGCATTCACATTTCATATTTTAGACCAGGGTTGATAGATTTTCTCTAATTAGCTATTTTATGAGGAAACTTGAAGTTTACAATGGGACTATTTGCTGAAACAGCGTGGCAAATCACAATGCTATGAAACATCTTATTTGATGTAAATGTTGGCATAAAAACACTGTAAAGTATCTTGTATATTCAGCATTTTTCTAGGGCTGACAAAACTGTGATACAAGGCACATCTAATGAGTAAATAACTGCCTATATTTTTGGTATACGGCTCTTTTTTTCAAAAACAGGAGGGTGTTTCCTGGTAAAGAAAACATATTTGGGTTGCAATTTAGCACAAGAAGTTGTAGTCCAAGAGTTACATTTTGCCTGTTAGACATGAGGAAGCAAGATTTGCTGGGTAATATCTTTCATTAAACCAACTGTTTACTTGGGAGAGATGTTAGACAAGCTTTTGAGCACAAAATGTCCTCCTTCAGGCCTGGGAAAGAGGCAGATACAATTTAAGCTAAGTACCAGGTATAGAAATTTAAGTAGACATTCAACTTTAAATAGCTATTCTATATTAAGCAGATGAGTTTATTTTTTTATATGTAAATACTAATGACCAAAAATAGGGATGCAGTCAAGGGATCTAATTTGATCTGTGCTGTAAATAACATACAGATTAAGAATTCTTAACCATGTTATTAGCACAGTCATATATTGTATTGTCTTGAGATAAGTTCTTATTATGTTATAGATCTGTAAGTAAAAGACCAGATGACATATCATATTTTCCTTAAATTATTATAGTATTGTATCCAAGTTGCACCAATTCTATTGAAATATCTGACATAAAATATCAGTTTTTAAAGAATAAAATACAAAATAACTTAATATCATAGGCTTGTTCTAAACTGACAGAGGACAGGTTTAAGGTTTTATTTATTCTGACCTTAAAGAAAAGCAAAGCAATAGTGAAAAATGAAGTAAGCATATATTTATGTACTGAACTTCCCCACAAGCCAGACTCCAGGGAGCACTCAGCACAGAAATACATTTTATTACTAAATACAGGTACGAAATAGACATATTTTATTAGTAAGTAAATGTGCTAAATTTATTACTAAATATAATACTAAATTTAAAATAGTCCCTCGTCACCCACCATGCAATCCACTGGCACTTCCTGTTTCACTGAAAATATTTCAGAATGCATAAATCTGTTTTAATTCAGCTTTCATTCAGCAGTCATGAAAATGTCCACATATGGCTTAAAACACTAATCACATCATCTGACATACTGTATCCAGAGACTGTATAAACCTACTATAAATTTAGAATATGCTATTTAAATGTCTTGTACTTAAGACAACTTAATCCATCTTCTTGTGACCCATCCTCAGTATTTTTTAAGCTAAAATATATTTAAAGGATAAGTATTTTTCCTTTCCAGATCAAACAAATTCTTAGATGACAGAAACAAAATGCAGATGTACCCTTCAGGTAGGTGAAATGCTAGCAAAATTGGGTGAGCTAACCAACTCACACATTAATTTGGTGTATTATTTGGTTGCTCTCTCTCAAGACAAGTTTTAGAAGCCTTTCTACTCCTGTTTTGTAGAATGACAAGAAGGACTTGGGCATGTCAGTACACCATTTATAAATATAAGAGTCTTTAAGGAATTCTGAGACATTTCCAATTATGTACATTTCAAAATCTCCGAATAACAGGGTTATATGTATGTTCATGGTTAAAAGCCCAAACACAATTTATATTTAAACTAAATATTTTTTCATAGGTAGGAAAAAACATGCTCTTTGAAGATAAAACAGATATATTAATACATATATTTTAAAAATATATTTAGAGCAAATTGTAATTAAATAGCATTAAATATTTTTATGCATATTGATCAACTTAGTGGTTAGTTCATGCCAAAGGAAAAGACAACTATAATGTCAAGATTCAAACTATGTAATTATCTCAGATGAGCCCTAAAAATAGAAAGAACTCATCCTCAGTGGTAGGTTTGCAGTGTTATAGCCATGACAGTGCAAGAAATCTGAGAGGAAAGGGTTTTTATGGTAACTTTTATTGAACCAGTTGCATAGAAAGTCTCTCACAACTTATACAGTTGGTCCAATAAAAGATATCACACAAAAAAGCAACCCTGGCCTTTTATTCTCAGTGAGTGCATCTATACAAGGCATTTACTGCATATAGACTAATTATCTGCACAGTAAATGTCTTGGCATCTACATGTGTACCCTTATTAGGCTGGAGTAAACTAATTTACTTTGCAGCAGGATAGTACTTGTAAATACAAATACTATCCTGCTGAGGAGAAAAACTTTGCCAGCAGCACATGTATAGACACTGGAGGGGCTGACTGGGGCATGAAAGTGCTTTAGTGCGGGGGCTGCCTGCCAGCAAGCCCCATGCTGAAGCTCCCTTGCACCTCAGTCAGCTCCTCCACAGCACATTGAGCTGAGGGGAAGAGCCCCGGCTGGCAGGCCGACCTTCCAGCCAGGACTGCTCTGACCCAGCTCCATATGCTGTGCATGAATAAACTCTGGAGCTTATTGCTCCAGAGTTAATTGCTTCCAGACGCACATTCAAACAGTGCGCTAGAGAGCAATAAATCTGCTCAAACTGCCCCGGAGTTTATTGCTGCGCATTAATAGCACATGTAGATGCACCCAGTTACATTAAAGCCTTGAAACACAGCTCTGGTAAATCTTCATTCATTTTCTTTTCTACAGCTGGAGTGGTGTAAAGTGGCATTAGTGAAAAGTAAATCAAGTTAAGTCTTGACCACTTTTTCATATTAATGATCTGCATGATATTTGTTGCAAGGCATATGAATCAGTTTCCTCACTAAAATCCAAATTAAGGAACTACTTGCTGCCTATCTAAGATTCTCTCATGTTTTGGTTCAAAATCCCTTCCCCTCATATCCTGCAAAGACTGACCATTGAACTACTTATGATAGTAAATTTGAGCACATGCATAAACTTTGGCAGCACCTGGCCCATAAGTCTCCTTGGACTTCAGTTTGGTCAAAATTTCATCCTTAGTATGCTGTGCAGTGCTGTTTTGTTAGCTTTATTTATTTTTGTTTTGTTTTGCTTTATGTGGTGTATGTTTTACAGATAAAAGCATACATGTAACTAAACCCTGACTAGAACTTTATTAAACAAAATAGCATATAACGTATTTAACCCTTTTATTAATAAATATATATAAAAGAAAATAGAAAAAAATAAAAAAACATTCAATTTGACAGTGAAGAACTCAAAATGTAGAAAATGCCAGAATTAGGCTGGTCTGTATTTGGGCATGCTATGCAAAGTAGTCTTTAATTATATTACCACATTTTTTTTTTCTGCAAGGCTTCTCTGTAACCCAGTGCACAAAATAGGTGATGTTCACTGAATGAGCATCTATTCCACATTTAGCCTTATCTTCACTATTCAGTGTGTGTCCCTCTCCTTATTTACTACATGCTATTGAAAATTGCTTTGAATATAGGATTACTAAGTTATATGTAGACTTTTCTATGGTGCTCATTATTACAGCATCAGAATACTTCACAAAATTTAATTTATTTATTTTGACAATAACCCACAAGGTGAGAGATTACCATAATCTCCTGTAAAACAGGACTCTCAGGCTGCATTCAGATGAACGCGGCCGTGCCACTAGTTCTGTTGTTCTCCATGCTGCAAAGGAGCAACATGGAGGGTTTTTTTTTACCCCTGGATATCCATCCCAGTATTGGACCCAGCCTCCCCTACCCCACCAGGGGTAACTTGACACAAGCCAGCACACACGTGGCACAGGCGTTCCCCAGGGACAACTAGCAGTGGCGCAAGGTGTACTGCCACCAGTTGTCCCCAGGGAATCAAACGTCCACACATGTCTGGGCACAGCCTTTAGGTATTAAAATCAAATATGTTCACTAATTCTGGGTGCCCAAATATCAAAGTACTTAATATTCTGAAGGACTTTATATATTCAGAGCGCAGCTCCTGTAACTTCAGTTGCGGCTGTGAGCACTTAGCACTTTTGTAAAATAGAATCCAGATCTTGAGTTGGCTACCCAGAAAATGAGGGGTACACAACTACAGTAGAAACCAGATTATTTGTACCTGGGTAGTCCACAACCCACTGAAGTCACAGTAGGTTAACAAATTAAGGATAAACTGATCAGCTGTGTGCTGAAGCTTTTACTTCAGAGGGTATCAGTAATGCCAACTGTTGTGAAACCATTGCAAGACATGGGATTTCAGTCACAAAAACTCCGACTCTTGATCTCCTGATCCAAACCTCAGATCTCTGGATTTTCTAATCTGGTAAATGGAGGGAAAGGGATGAAGGGTGGGGGAGAAGGAGGCATAGGGGCATGGTCTGGGGCTCTAGGCCCTGCTGCCTTGCCCCAGGAGCTCAGTCGCACAATGCCATTGCCACCCGTTGGGTGGGCAGGGACAAGGGGCGCGCTGGCCACGTGGCACATTCTCTGCCCGCCCGGTGGCAGGAGGCACACTGGGGTCATGCGGCTGAGCTCCCAGGGTAAGGCAGCAGGGCTCAGAGCTCCAGCCCACAGTGGGCAGCCCACTGCTACCTCCCCACCATGCCTCTGCATGACCCACCGTGGCCCCTGCTCCTGCCCTACTCCCTCCCTCACCGCAGGGGCCTTGATCTCATCTTTGCAGGGGATTAGAAACATAACCCTGAAAAGTATCCAGGTTCTACAATAGTGACAATTTATGAAAAGTTACAGAAAAATGTGCTGGTACACCCTATAATACAGGTAGGCTGGATAGCCTTAATGACCATTGATGAGACTGTTCTTTTTTTTCCTGAAATCTTCTCCATTGCTCACTATGCACCCTTGCAACTTTTGGACCAAATGAAGCAGGGTTCTACAACTAATTTTCTCCTTCACTCAAATCCTGATGTCTCCCCAAAGCAAATGTATCCTATGTACTAAATGAGGCAGGAGCCCTTGGGGGAAAAAAATCTATATCATAATGCATGTATACAGGAGGGCTGAATTTGGAGTAAAGTTTTTCTAGGTGTTCAGCACCCATTAACTCTCTTTCTGACATCACTGGTAGCTGCTGGATGCTCAGCATTTTTTAAATCAAGGCCATTTATTTAAGTGCCTAAATATGAATTCAGAAGCCTACCTTTAGACAGTAGGGTAGGATTTTTAAAGTACCCAAATGATTTAGAAACATAATTTTAGATACCTTGAGTATGATTTTTAAAAACATCCAAATGACTGATAAGCAAAAGTATTCTAGATTTTCAATAGGACTTTTGCTTCTCATACTTAGATGCTTTTTAAAATCTAACACCTGCTTCCCACAAAATCCGAGATTTGTCTTATTATCTAAATAATGGGGCCCATCTACTTAACAGATGTAATGTTCACTTACCCTCAGCCATTCCAGAAGTATTGCTGGTATTAAGTTTGTTGAATCGAATTAGATTTCTTACTGCAAGGGGAAGAAGAGATCTCAGGCCTCCTGTAAAAACCATCTCTTCACCCTTGAACAGAAGAACCGTAATGCTGTTATAAGGTTTGAACACATAGCTGCATTTTACTAGTGCTTTAAAATCAAATTTATTGCAGGACATCAGTTTCAAGGTTGCTGTTTCATCTTCATATTCCACAGAAATATCCTTCTCTGAGGAATTCTGAGTCTCAAGACAAAATGCAAATAACCAATTCAAAGGTTTGTTTCACAGAACAGTGTGTAATTAAAGGGTGTGAATCTCCTAACAAATTAATCAGAGTACAGTTTATCTGTTTGGCTGGAATGCAAAATCAAGTTAGCTGTTTTACAGCAGTGTACAGTGTTATTATCTTTGTTAAATTTTCAAATTCTAAAGTATTCATTCTGACAAACTTCTACTATTTTAGAACTGAAATACCATAAACAGTTCACAAGTTAATTTACAGAATTGATTTACAACTGAAAAAGCCCTCAAATAGAATATTAGAAATTTGACTTGGTGATTTTAAACATAGTTGTTTTCTTAATGCTTTAAAATAAATTGTACTTTGCAAAGTATCTACCATAGAGAAAAGGATATTTTCATGCTGATTTTTTCATAGACATCAAGAGATGTAATTGATTTGTCATACAATGAAAGTTGATTTACACTGGGCAAACTGACCATAGTTACTTGTGTTGCCTACTTGACCCTTCTTTGACATTTTGTTGAGGTAGGTTAACACCTTTTACCTTGATTTAGGTAAAAAGTTCACACTGGTTCCTCTTTAACTTCAAGCAGCTTAACAGAGGCAAAAGGAGTTAATTAGATCTATACTGGAGAAAATCCTGAGAATAGGTTAACTAATTACTTAGCTGTAACAAAACCTTGACCCTTTCCTTCTAAGCTAAACCTGAGAGAAGAGATACTTAGCTCTAATCATTAACAAATTCCAGTTATCTAAGACCAGGTTCCACTCCTCATTTTTATAAATAAAATTTGTAAAGAAACAAACATCCTCCAAAAAATTAAATTTTCTCACCTCCAAGGCTATTTTTACCTCTGGAGAAGCCATTTTTATTATAACGCTTTAAGAAGTAATGATAGTTTTAAGCATGGAAGACTAACTGCTGTACTTTTAAAAGCTGGTAAGTTAATGTACAATGAGGTATTTTTTTTTTTTAGTAAATGTTAACTCTTCTGTTAAAATTCTACTGTGTTTTGGGTTATTACTGTAATAGTATAAGATCTACAAGATCCTTTTCATAAGAGGTAATGCACAAATGACTATGAGAATGTACATTTCTTGATAACATATTTCTTGTTAATCTGCAAAAAGAATAGATGGGCCTTGATTGTAAAATTCTCAGCAGATGTTATATCCACGTTTCAAAATCCCTCCAAAAGTATCAGGTATTCCAATGTAGTGTTCTGATTTGCTCTACTGTGAAACTGAGATAAGATTTTTTGGTCTAGTTTTTTAACCTTCTACCATTAATTTAGAGGTGTTTATATATTAGGTTGTCAGCCCAGATAAAGAGTGTTTTTTCTACGTTATTTTAGTGAATTAATCCCTTTTCCTTAAATTCCTTCCTTTTCTCAGTTTATCTGGTAATTATTTTACAGGAATATGAGAATTAAACACTGCAATGAGAATTACACATTGTCATGTTCTCAGATACTATAGTAATACTTTAGATAACAGAGACAGAATAGATCTATCACTATGTTCCAAAATTTAACTGCCAATTAGAACTGCTTTGAAAAATCTTGATAACTGCCTGGAAGGATATATTTTACCAGTATAACTCCTATCTTTCTAAACGGCTCCAGAGGAGACCCAGGGAACTACAGGCCAGTGAGTATAAATTCTGTTCCTAGTAAATTGGTAGTAACAATAATAATAAAAACGTATTTTTAATACATGGATGAACAGGACTTGCTGAGGACAAATCATCAAGCCTTTATTAAAGGAAGGTCATACCTGACCAACCTATGTTGAGACATTAACAAGCATGTGGTTCAGGTGACCCAGTCAATTGCTTCTCAGCCTTTTGGTTAAGATCAAGTATTTTCAACCTGGCCATAGAACAGTGCAGTGGCAATAGGCCACAGAGGGCTCAGCCTCTATGGATGCAAAACTGATCATCCTGGCCTATGCTGACAACCTCATCCTCATCACCAGAGACCCTGAGCAACTGGAAAGGATGCTAGACATGAGGTCTAAGGTGGCCAAGTGGATGGGGCTCTGCTTCAATGCCTTCAAATGTGCCACTCTGAACATCAACTGCAGGAAGAAAAGCAACATTCTGGACTCCACCATCACCATCCAGGGCAAGCAGATGAGGTGCCTGAAGGATGGTGAGAGCTATCTCCACCTGGGAATGTCCACTGATCACTGGGCAAAGCAGATGTCAGAAGAGACCATCAGTGGGATTGTGCAGGACGCCCACAAACTGGACTTATCCCTGCTGGTCCCCTAGCAAAAGATAGATGGGTAAACACTTTCTTCATCCCCATATCTTGTTCATTCTGAGAGGTTTGGTAGTCCCCAAGACCCCCATCAAGAAGGCAGACAATGATCGGAGGTGGTTGCTGAAGAAGTGGCTGTACCTGCTACACTGGGCCAGCAGCAAGATCTGCACATCTTACCAGCAGGGAGGCACCAAAGTCCTTTACATGGGTGACCTCTGCAATGTCACAGTGGTCACCCATGCCTTCCACTTCCTGACCTGCCCCAATGACCTGGGCGATCAAGGCATGGGGCTTGGAAAGAGCTGCAGGGGAGGGTCAGCTCCCAGCCCCCTGCCCCGATCCATTGGTAGAGCAGCTAGCAGCGGATCAGGGCTGGGGCCTGGGACCTGCCCCTCTCCTGCAGCTCCTTCCAAGCCCTATGCCTCAATTGTTTGATCAGGACATACCCCTGCCTGGGACAATGGGACAGCCCCCAGCTACCTCCAGGCTGCATGTGCTGACTTCCTCATGCAGCCCAGAGCTGGCCAGAAACTCTTCCACTGAAAAACCAGGGATTGCCTGCTGAGCCAGGAGCTCATTGCTAGCTGCTCCATCAGCAGATTGGGGCAGGGGACTGGGAACTGTCCCTCCCCTGAAGCTCTTTCCAAGCCCCTTCCCCTGATTGGGGAACCATGACAAGGAGCTCCATGCTGCCAGGGCAGGGGGACATTGTCCCTCCCTGGGATCCGGTGGTGGAACCCATCCTGCAGCAGGCAGCTCCCAGGGGCAGGGAGCAATGTCTCAGCCTCCACCAAGAGATAGCTGTCTCCTGACCCCATGTTCCCTGCCAGCACCTGGGGTAGCACCCAGAGGGAGCTAGAGGTCCCCCTGGCTGCACAGGGGGCTGGTGCAGGGATGGAGGGGGTAGAACTAGACTGCTGCCAGGAACAGCAAATCTGGTCCTGGATCCCCACATGTGTAGACACCTGCCAGGGGTGGGTTCACTCTAGAGTAATTTATTCTAGTGTAAACCCGCCATGCAGCATTTGCACATGTAGATGTACCCAAGGAGTCTTAGATGTTGTATCAAGTACTTGAATATTCAAGAGAGTAGGAATTGGAACCCAGCTCACCTAGATTAGAGATGTTAATTGCCAAGTTATAGCATCTCTCTCTCTTCCTCTCTTATTCCCTGCACCCCCCCTCCAATTTAATTTCTCCCTGGTTCAATAATCAAGTATTTTATATGAATTGGCAGAGCTTCAATAGCTGAGATTAAGAGGAGTCTGTTGCAGAATATGGCATAGAGGTCATGGCTTTCTTATGGGAGACATAAATTTAGTTCAGGATAAAGAATTTGAACCCAGGCCACACTCATCCCTTTATGGGCTTTTGGGCATATGGGCTAGGGACAGATATTCAAAAAGCCTGAGCCTGATTCAACTCTTGCATGTTAGTCTAACCTGGCTAGGCTGAACTGGTTTGTAACTGGACAGACATTTTATCTGGACTGAGGAAATTCAGGCACATGCCTGCAGTGGTCAGGCTAGAAGCTGGGGGGGTGCTAGAGCAGCCCTCCCTTCCCTTCCACAGGGCTGAGCTTAGGGAAATGTGGCCAGGCCCTGGCAGGATGCTATGATTAGGGAGGTCTGCCTGCACCATCCCAGGTTTTTCCCCACTGGCTGCTCAAGGGGTGGGAGTATTGCCAGACCCCTACTAGCACTCTGAGGGAAGGGGGTGTGTGTGTAGTGCATACATCTGTTCATAGATTTCATAGACATGAGGCCTGGAAGGGACCTTGGAAGATCATTGAGTCCAGCCCCCTGCCCATGGGGCAGGAAGTCAGCTAGGGTCAAAGGATCCCAGCAAGATAAACGTCCAAACATTTCTTAAAAGAGTCCAGAGTTGGTTCTTGCACCACCTCTGGAGGGAATCTATTCCAGGCCTTGGGGGCACAGATAGTAAAGAAGTTTTTCCTTATGTCCAGCCTAAAACAGTCTTGAAGGAGTTTATGACCATTGGATCTTGTCATCCCTTGGGGTGCTCTGGTGAATAGGCATTCCCCCAGATCTTGATGCACACCCCTTATATACTTATAGGCTGCTAACAGGTCACCCCTGAGCCTGTGCTTTTCCAGGCTGAAGAGTCCCATGTCTCTTAGCCTATCTTCATAAGGCCTGTTCTCTTGCCTTCTGATCATGCACGTGGCTCTCCTCTGGACTCTCTCAAGCTTCTCCACATCCTTCTTGAATTGTGGAGCCCCAAACTGGATGTAGTACTCCAGCTGTGGCCTCATCAAGACTGGGTACAGCAGGAGGATGACATCCTGAGATTTGCTTGAGAAGTATCTATGGATGCAAGCCAGAGTTTTTTTTGCTTTACCAGCTGCGACATTGCATTGGTGGTTTATGTTCATTTTGTGGTCAATCATGACCCGCAAGTCCCTTTTGACCATGGTACTAGCAAGTGTAGCACTGCCAAGCCTAAAAGCATGATGTGGGTTTTTTTCCCCGAGGTGGAGTGCCACAGGGCACTAGGGTGCCCTGCTCCCTTAAAGAGCTGAAACTGCTAGGGGAAGAGCCCTAGCAGTGAGTTGG